AATATTCTTTCACTAGTGCACTGATATTATTTATACCATTTTAACAATAATGCAGTAGTCTGCATAACAGTAAATTTTGTATTTTTTGTATGAATAAAAAATCAAAATAGTAAGCAATAGTAATATAAGAGGGGCCTAAAGACGTGACTAATGAACAGAGGATATGTTATTTTAGTGCCAAGAATGTCTATATTGTTTATTCTGGACCCTATTTTGAAATTGGTTGCTCCTGTCTGTCTCAACTATTGGATCACTACGACAAGGTCCTAAATGCACTAGAAGACAAAAAGAATGCAGATGTAATATATACAGACTTTGCAAAAGCCTTCGACAAGTGTGACCATGGCGTAATAGCGCACAAAATGCGTGCTAAAGGAATAACAGGAAAAGTCGGTCGATGGATCTATAATTTCCTCACTAACAGAACACAGAGAGTAGTCGTCAACAGAGTAAAGTCCGAGGCAGCTACGGTGAAAAGCTCTGTTCCACAAGGCACAGTACTAGCTCCATCTTGTTCCTCATCCTCATATCCGACATAGACAAGGATGTCAGCCACAGCACCGTGTCTTCCTTTGCAGATGACACCCGAATCTGCATGACAGTGTCTTCCATTGCAGACACTGCAAGGCTCCAGGCAGACATCAACCAAATCTTTCAGTGGGCTGCGGAAAACAATATGAAGTTCAACGATGAGAAATTTCAATTACTCAGATATGGTAAACATGAGGAAATTAAATCTTCATCAGAGTACAAAACAAATTCTGGCCACAAAATAGAGCGAAACACCAACGTCAAAGACCTGGGAGTGATTATGTCGGAGGATCTCACCTTCAAGGACCATAACATTGTATCAATCGCATCTGCTAGAAAAATGACAGGATGGATAATGAGAACCTTCAAAACTAGGGAGGCCAAGCCCATGATGACACTCTTCAGGTCACTTGTTCTATCTAGGCTGGAATATTGCTGCACTCTAACAGCACCTTTCAAGGCAGGTGAAATTGCCGACCTAGAAAATGTACAGAGAACTTTCACGGCGCGCATAACAGAGATAAAACACCTCAATTACTGGGAGCGCTTGAGGTTTCTAAACCTGTATTCCCTGGAACGCAGGAGGGAGAGATACATGATTATATACACCTGGAAAATCCTAGAGGGACTAGTACCGAACTTGCACACGAAAATCACTCACTACGAAAGCAAAAGACTTGGCAGACGATGCACCATCCCCCCAATGAAAAGCAGGGGTGTCACTAGCACATAAAGAGACCATACAATAAGTGTCAGGGGCCCGAGACTGTTCAACTGCCTCCCAGCACACATAAGGGGGATTACCAACAGACCCCTGGCAGTCTTCAAGCTGGCACTGGACAAGCACCTAAAGTCAGTTCCTGATCAGCCGGGCTGTGGCCGTACGTTGGTTTGCGTGCAGCCAGCAGCAACAGCCTGGTTGATCAGGGGCTGATCCACCAGGAGGCCTGGTCACAGACCGGGCCGCGGGGGCGTTGACCCCCGAAACTCTCTCCAGGTAAACTCCAGGTTTTTTAATTTGGGTGAAACTGGCCAAATTGCCAATTTCTGACCACTTTATTGGGTAGTTCAAATTGGTAAATGGGCGGTTTCTTGTACTCAACTGATAGAAAAAATGGAGTTGTAGAGAAATAGCTATGAGTTTGGTCAACTGGAATAACACAATTGGCCAAAAACAGGGCTCAAAGTCGGCAAAATCGCCGATGCATGTATGTTGCCAAGACTGCTAACTTCGCGGGAGCGTAATTCCGTGAGTTTTCGACCAAATTTCATACTTTTGGTGTCATTACCATCGGGAAAAGATTGTCTATCATTTCATAAGAAAAAAATATTTTTTTTTTTTTTTTTTTTTTTTTCCAAAAAATTTTGCGACATAGATTGACAGTTTCAGAAAGGGGCTTGCGACAGTCAAAGGGTTAATACAAGAGAGAGAGAGAGACAGAGGGAGCTAAATAAGAACATAAGATAGAAGGAACACTGCAGCAGGCCTACTGGCCCATACGAGGCAGGTCCAAGTCTCCTACCGGCTTAAGCTAATGCCCCAACCTAGTCCGGTCAGGTCACATTCACTTAAGGAAGGAACACGGCAGCTGACCTAGTAGCACAAGCTAATCGGGTCCAACTCACACCCACCCACACCTGCTCGTGTATTTATCTAACCTATTTTTAGAACTACACAACGTTTTAGCCTCTATAACTGTACTTGGGAGTTTGTTCCACTCATCCACAACTCTGTTAGCAAACCAGTGCTTTCCTATATCCTTCCTGAATCTGAATTTTTCTAACTTAAAGCCATTGCTACGAGTCCTGTCTAGGCTAGATATTTTCAGCATGTTATTTACATCCCCTTTATTTATTCCCGTCTTCTATTTATACACCTCAGTCATGTCCCCCCTAATTCTACGCCTTTCTAGAGAGTGCAGATTCAGGGCCCTCAGTCTGTCCTTATAGGGAACATTTCTGATACATGGGATCAACTTTGTCATCCTCCTTTGTATGTTTTCCAGAGCATTTATATCCATTCTGTAATACGGTGACCAGAACTGAGCAGCATAGTCTAAATGAGGCCTAACCAAGGATATATAGAGTTGAAGAACAACCTGAGGACTTCTATTATTTATGCTTCTAGATATGAAGCCAAGGATTCTGTTAGCTTTATTGCGAACACTTATACACTGTTGTCTTGGCTTCAGATTACTGCTAACCAGAACTCCTAAATCCTTTTCGCAATCCGTAATATTAAGATCTACGTTATTTAGTTTATATGTGGCATGATTATTTTCCTGTCCAACATTTAGAACTTTGCATTTGTCTTGATTAAACTGCATCTGCCACTTCTCCGACCACTGCATCAGTCTATTCAAATCTTCCTGGAGTGCTCTAATGTCCTCGTCAGAATGAATTCGACGGCCTATTTTGGTGTCATCGGCAAACTTGCTTATGTCGCTCTTTATGCCCTCGTCTATGTCGTTTATGTAGATTGTGAACAGCAGGGGGCCCAACACTGACCCCTGTGGAACACCGCTCATGAGGCTTCCCCACTCTGATTTCTCCCCATTTATGCAAACCCTCTGCTGCCTATTTGTCAACCATGCCTCTATCCAGGGAAAAATTTCTCCTCCTATTCCATGTGCCTTAATTTTCCTCAATAGTCTCTGATGTGGGACCCTGTCCAAAGCCTTACTGAAGTTCATATACACAATATCATATTCATTACCATAATCTACCTCCTCAAATACCTTAGTGAAAAAAGTTAATAAATTTGTAAGGCAGGAACGCCCCTTTGTAAAACCATGCTGAGTTTCATTGATTAGTTTGTGCTTCTCAAGGTGGCTACGAACTGCCTCGGCAATTATTGACTCCATAAATTTTCCCACTATGGAGGTTAGGCTTATTGGTCTATAGTTCGAAACTAAGGACCTGTCACCTGCTTTGAAAATAGGTATCACATTTGCCATTTTCCACTTATCTGGCCCCATGCCAGTTTGTAGTGATATACTGAAAAGATTAGCCAGAGGTTTGCTAAGCTCCTCTTTACATTCCTTTAGAACCCTTGCATACAGTTCATCAGGGCCTGGGGATTTGTTAGGTTTTAATTTATCAATTTGCCTAAGGACCATGTCACTTGTGACCCTAATCGTGCATAGTTTATCATTATCCTATTTTACATAATTTATTGTTTCTGGAATATCGCTAGTATCTTCCTGTGTAAAGACTGAGAGGAAGTATAAAGGTTCAATTTTAAGTTTGTATTAACCCTTTGACTGTTTCAGGCCCCTCTCTGAAACTGTCATTCTATGTCGCTCAATTTTTGAAAAAAAAAAAAATTATTTTTTCTTATGAAATGATAGAGAATCTTTTCCCGATGGTAATGACACCAAAAGTTCGAAATTTGGTCGAAAACTCGTGGAATTATGCTCCCGCAAAGTTAGCGGTCTCGGCGACATATGCGTATTGGCGATTTCGCCGACTTTGAGCCCTATTTTCAGCCAATTCCATTGTTCCAGTTGACCAAACTCATAGCTATTTCTTTAGAACTCCATTTTATCTATCAGCTGAGTACAAGAAACCTCCCATTTACTAATTTGGACTACCCAATATGGTGGTCAGAAATTGGCAATTTGGCCAATTTCACGCGAAATAAAAAAGATGCCAATTTCAAAATAGGGTCCAGAATAAACATGGTAGACATTCGTGGCACTAAAATAACATATGCTCTGTTCATTAGTCACATCTCTAGGCCCCTCTTATATTATTATTGCTTTCTATTTTGATTTTTTATTCATACAAAAAAATACAAAATTTTCTGTTGTGCAGACGACTGCATTATTATAAAAATGGTATAAATAATATCAGTGCACAAGTGAAAGAATATTAGACTCCCCAGTTGACGTGTATTGGACGTGTGGTGTGATTTATTTACTCTTGAACATTGGTAAAAATCGAACATTTCCGCTACTTTGAGCTCAGTTTCAAGGTCGTTTTCATCGTAAAAGTAATGAAAATCATCTCTATTTCTGTAATATGTTTTCCATTTTATCACCTAAGACCATGAAAACGCGAATACAACGATAAATACTATACGAAAATACACCTCAAAGTCGGCGTTTTATTCCAAAAAAACGATCAGAGTTTTTTTTTTCTCATTACGCAATGTGTGCTGCAGGATTTTTTTTATGTGGTGCACACTGACCACACAGACCCATTCTCTCACATGTGGGCCTACCAGCTTTCTCCCACTTGATTTGAAGCCGCTAGAATTATTGAGTATATATACGTCAGAAACATTGGCTCGTAAGACGTATTTATACGTCGAAAACAGTCAAAGGGTTAATACAATAGAGAGAGAGAGAGAGAGAGAGAGAGAGAGGGGGAGGAAGAGAGAGAGAGGGAGCTAAATGATAAAGGTGCAATTTTAAGTTTGTATTAATACAATAAAGAGATTCAGTGATTGGTCTGAACATTTCTAGGGAGGTAATATGAAGAGCCTTGGGAAATATATGAACGTGGCCAGAGAAGAGTACGTCATCCGTGGCCGTGATCCACCGGCGGATAATTGCAGTGCCCAGGGCAAGTCTGCTGTAACCAGTGATGGACAACCTGCTAACTTTCCTTCACGTTCAAACATGTAAGTTAACATGAAGATTCATGTGGTTTTTTGTGGAGTTGACAATACATGTGGTTTTTGATTATTTAACATGATAAATGGGGTTTTTGTGAATATAAGATGACAAAAGATGTCCTTTTTGTTGAGCTAAATGATAAAACATGTGGTTTATGTTAAGATGAAGAAACATGTGGTTTATGTTAAGATGAAGAAACATGTGGTTTATGTTAAGATGAAGAAACATGTGGTTTATGTTAAGATGAAGAAACATGTGGTTTATGTTAAGAAACATGTGGTTTATGTTAAGATGAAGAAACATGTGGTTTATGTTAAGATGAAGAAACATGTGGTTTATGTTAAGATGAAGAAACATGTGGTTTATGTTAAGATGAAGAAACATGTGGTTTATGTTAAGATGAAGAAACATGTGGTTTATGTTAAGATGAAGAAACATGTGGTTTATGTTAAGAAACATGTGGTTTATGTTAAGATGAAGAAACATGTGGTTTATGTTAAGATGAAGAAACATGTGGTTTATGTTAAGAAACATGTGGTTTATGTTAAGAAACATGTGGTTTATGTTAAGATGAAGAAACATGTGGTTTATGTTAAGATGAAGAAACATGTGGTTTATGTTAAGATGAAGAAACATGTGGTTTATGTTAAGATGAAGAAACATGTGGTTTATGTTAAGAAACATGTGGTTTATGTTAAGAAACATGTGGTTTATGTTAAGAAACATGTGGTTTATGTTAAGAAACATGTGGTTTATGTTAAGATGAAGAAACATGTGGTTTATGTTAAGAAACATGTGGTTTATGTTAAGAAACATGTGGTTTATGTTAAGATGAAGAAACATGTGGTTTATGTTAAGATGAAACATGTGGTTTATGTTAAGATGAAGAAACATGTGGTTTATGTTAAGAAACATGTGGTTTATGTTAAGAAACATGTGGTTTATGTTAAGAAACATGTGGTTTATTATCATAAATAGTTTTTGTGGAGTGTATTTTGTGCTAACTAGTTAAAACACTACAACTGGGTACGGTAACCAACTTATTACTGTATTTCGTGGCTTATGAGACATGGCTCGTGAGACTTGTTTTAGTTTCAATGGCTCGGCATCGGACGTAACTGGGAGAGTTACAACCCACCCCACACCTCAGATTTATACCTCCCATCACTGACATTCAGTTTATAGGACGCAGGCTGGTTTTCGGAGACATTTCATGGAAAAAATGCTAAATACAGTAATGTTTATAACTTGTTAATGTTAAAATGTTAACTCCTGTGTTCTGTAATGTGGTACTTAAAACAAAATTCATTCAGTATACTGTAATTGTTTGTTAAAGGAGAATAGTTTTAAAATACAGGGTCCTTGTTAAACCTAGGACCCAATCTAACTTTATTATTTTTTTAAATACACTACCTAACAGAATACTCCATTCTACTGAATGTACAACAATGCATGCAACCATATGACCTGTCTTTGTAATACTCATTTGTGCTTTATAGTTATCTGTTTATAATAATGTTTTATCACTGATTTCATCATTGCTTAGTTAATCTTAAGTTAATTTTAAGCCAGCCCGTAATGCTATGCATATAAGTGGCTTTGGCATGCTGCTCTTACCTGTATTTTTTGTACCTCTGTATGTATGCTAAAATTTCTAAATAAATAAATAAATAAAAAATAAAGGCAGGTATTATAGGACTGAACTTCGAGACTGTTGCCACAATAAACCTACAGAAATTCGGACAAAATAAAAATTATAATAAATATCTTGATAATTTTTTTCAGCGGACCCCCGAGTTTCGTGGGCTTCAACTTTGGTGAAATCCGACTTTCGGCAAGTTTTTTCGGCAAAATTTAGCCTCGCAGTTCGTGACTGGACTTGTGATTCGGCGACCGTTCGGTACTCGTCCGCTCGTCACCGCGCACACAAAGCCAGTCTCTCGCACCATTCACACTCACTGTGCCATCGTAATGTCTACTTGGGTAGCTACCTGGCTACACTAATGTCTACTTGGGTAGCTACCTGGCTACACTAATGTCTACTTGGGTAGCTACCTGTCTACACTAATGTCTACTTGGGTAGCTGGCTACAGTAATGTTGACTTGGGTAGCTACTACAGTAATGGCCACTTGGGTAGCTGCTACAGTAATTGCCACTTGGGTAGTGGGCTACAGTAATGTCTACTTGGGTAGCTGGCTACAATAATGTCTACTTGGGTAGCTGCTACAGTAATGTTCACTTGGGTCGCTGCTACAGTATTGTTCACTTGGGTAGCTGCTACAGTAATGTTCACTTGGGTAGCTGCTACAGTAATGGCCACTTGGGTAGCTGGCTACAATAATGTCCACTTGGGTAGCTGCTACAATAATGTCCACTTGGGTAGCTGCTACAATAATTGCCACTTGGGTAGTGGGCTACAGTAATGTCTACTTGGGTAGCTGGCTACAATAATGTCTACTTGGGTAGCTGCTACAGTAATGTTCACTTGGGTCGCTGCTACAGTATTGTTCACTTGGGTAGCTGCTACAGTAATGTTCACTTGGGTAGCTGCTACAGTAATGGCCACTTGGGTAGCTGGCTACAATAATGTCCACTTGGGTAGCTGCTACAATAATGTCCACTTGGGTAGCTGCTACAATAATGTCCACTTGGGTAGCTGGCTACAATAATGTCCACTTGGGTAGCTGGCTACAATAATGTCCACTTGGGTAGCTGGCTACAATAATGTCCACTTGGGTAGCTGCTACAATAATGTCCACTTCAGTAGCTGGCTACAGTAATGTCCAGTTCGGTAGCTGGCTACAGTAATGTCCAGTTCGGTAGCTGTGACAATGATGTCCACTTGGGTAGCTGGCACCTACCCTACCCTAGAAGGGCTGGGTATGGTGTCAATCACCTAACCTGCTGTATAAGCAGGGCCTTCTTGTACAGCAGTAACCTGGAACCTAACCTGCTGTATAACCAGGGCCTTCTTGTACAGCAGTAACCTGGAACCTAACCTGCTGTATAACCAGGGCCTTCTTGTACAGCAGTAACCTGGAACCTAACCTGCTGTATAACCAGGGCCTTCTTGTACAGCAGTAACCTGGAACCTAACCTGCTGTATAACCAGGGCCTTCTTGTACAGCAGTAACCTGGAACCTAACCTGCTGTATAACCAGGGCCTTCTTGTACAGCAGTAACCTGGAACCTAACCTGCTGTATAACCAGGGCCTTCTTGTACAGCAGTAACCTGGAACCTAACCTGCTGTATAACCAGGGCCTTCTTGTACAGCAGTAACCTGGAACCTAACCTGCTGTATAACCAGGGCCTTCTTGTACAGCAGTAACCTGGAACCTAACCTGCTGTATAACCAGGGCCTTCTTGTACAGCAGTAACCTGGAACCTAACCTGCTGTATAACCAGGGCCCTCTTGTACAGCAGTAACCTGGAACCTAACCTGCTGTATAACCAGGGCCTTCTTGTACAGCAGTAACCTGGAACCTAACCTGCTGTATAACCAGGGCCTTCTTGTACAGCAGTAACCTGGAACCTAACCTGCTGTATAACCAGGGCCTTCTTGTACAGCAGTAACCTGGAACCTAACCTGCTGTATAACCAGGGCCTTCTTGTACAGCAGTAACCTGGAACCTAACCTGCTGTATAACCAGGGCCTTCTTGTACAGCAGTAACCTGGAACCTAACCTGCTGTATAACCAGGGCCCTCTTGTACAGCAGTAACCTGGAACCTAACCTGCTGTGTAAGTGAGACCCTTCTGTAACAACTGGTATATAAATAAAGAAGGTTAACTTTATAGTTTTCTTCTATCTTGGGTCACCTGCCTTGGTGGGAGACTGCCAGTGTGTTAATAATAATGATTATGTTTATTTCTTTATGCAGGATTTCCCCTTGAATGATTATATAAAGTAATTTAATCTTAATTCTTAAATAACAAAAAGGTGCAATGCTGTATCTGGAACAATACACGTCTCCCTCCACATTCGTGAGGGTTAGGGGATCAAGAACCTTGCGAATGTTGAAAAATAACAAATGTTTGGTGCACAAATATGTATATTGTAAGGAAATATAATAATAGGATTTGCTTAGCCTAACAAGCATGAACAATTATAAAACACGTGAAAACTTTGTAAAATATTTTACTAGTGACAGCCCTTTGGTAAAGAAGGTGATAAAAACTATAGAATTCAAGGAAGAACTCATAGCAGAGTACCAAGGTGGAAGAAGAGAGAGAGGAGAATGTGTCTTCACTGATTCTACGATATGTATGATACTAAAGCAGCAGGAGTCAATAAAGGCTATAGCGCCAGCCAGCGATAAAGTGTAGCATTAACAGTGTAGCAAGTAAGTTAAGCGATTAATCTATAGAAAAAGGACAGCACGAACCTAACTCCTCCAGTATTGTTGGGGTTGTATAGGGCGACTGACAACACCGCCGTCTCTACCACCTCAGCTGCTGCCTTCACCACCACTGTGTATGCCTTATGCTCTCGGTGGCCCTTACACACTCAACAACAACAACACAGCAACACTCGTGACATACTTAATGACATATTTTATTCATTCTAGAGTATATGTCATGTTTCTATGTTATTAATGTTGTTTATTATGTCATATTAGATGAACTGTGATAGATAAATAAGCTGTAGAGTTGATATTAGTGTCATATTGAAGGACTATCATGTCTTATCTCCAGACAAACTCTGCCACCACCACAATTCCTAACATATGTACGTAACGATGTATTTTAAATATGATTGGGCGGCTGGGAATTAGTGAATGTTTGAAGCCCGCGAAAGTGGAAAACGCGAATGTTGAGGGAGACCTGTACACAACCCGCACATAGGCGAGACTTCGAAAATGGTCCAAGTCTGACCAAAATGTCATCGTAAGCTCCTCTATCCTATGTGCAGGTTATTTGTGTACTCGAAATTCTTGTTCCATTTTTACACTGATTTGCACTTAAATCGTTATGATTCTTTTTTTGTAGGGCAAAGGATGGAAAGCGGGAGATTAGTGGTGTGTACGTGTGCAATGTTCCTTGCTTGATGACCTGGGTAAGTTTACTCAGCTTTATTGATTATTGTTGACAGCTCGTGTGTATTTTGTCTTTAGATACAGTGGAACCTCAAAAATCAAACGTATCACATATCGAACGTTTCGAAAATAGGACCGTTTTTTCGGACAAACTGTGTCCCTATTATCGAACGCGCCCCTATTTTCAGACCGGCAGGTACGGGACATGTCCGCGAGCCTGCTCTGTCCGCGTCCCGCGCAGGCGCTGTGAGCAGTCTAGCTTTGTTTATGCTTGAGTTAACACGAACCTGCGCTCTCATTCACGCATTTTACGATTATTTCGTTGTGTTTAGTGCTTGTGGGACTGTGAATAAGCTGCCATGGACCCAAAGAAACTTGCTAGTGGTACTCCTGTGGTAAAGAAAGTGAGAAACACCATAGATGTGAAGAAGGAAATAATACAGAAGTATGAGAGTGGTGTGAGACTTGTTGAGCTTGCCAGGATGTATGGGAAAAACAAGTCGATCATCAGTTCTATCCTGGCAAAGAAAGAACAAATCAAGGAAGCTGATGTTGCGAAAGGCGTTAATATAGGGAGTGGATGAGGTGCCTTCTTCAAAGATTAAGGAGATTTGTGCCAAGTGGAATGATGACCAAATGTTTGTGCAGAAGTACCACCCTGAGCAAGCTGAAACAAGTCATCTTTGCAACAAGTTCAGTGACAGAACCATGTCCCATTTTAGGGAAATGTTAAAGAGGCGCCAGAAACAGAGGACTGTGGACAGAAATTTTGTGAGACAGGGGTCCAGTGACTCTCCAGCTGGTCCTAGTGGCATTAAAAGACAGAGATAAGATAAGATAAGATTTCGTTCGGATTTTTAACCCCGGAAGGTTAGCCACCCAGGATAACCCAAGAAAGTCAGTGCGTCATTGAGGACTGTCTAACTTATTTCCATTGGGGTCCTTAATCTTTTCCCCCAGGATGCGACCCACACCAGTCGACTAACACCCAGGTACCTATTTGCTGCTAGGTGAACAGGACAACAGGTGTAAGGAAACGTGTCGAAATGTTTCCACCCGCCGGGAATCGAACCCGGGCCCTCCGTGTGTGAAGCGGGAGCTCTAGCCACCTGGCCACTGGGCCACTATGAGAGAAGGGAAGTGACCCCAGAGAGGGCTTTACCTGAAGTCCTCATGGAGGGGGATTCTCCTTCCAAACACTAACCCCAACTCCCTCTCTCCTCCTCCCTATCTTCCAGATGCCATCACCAGTCTTCAATAAAGGTAAGTAAAAATGTTATTTTATATGTATTACTATACATAATTAAAAACTATAGTATTTGTTGTATGTAAAACTGTAATTAATCTCTATAAAATGTATTTTTTGTGTGAATATTTTTGGGTTTCTGGAACGGATTAATTATATTTCCATTATTTCTTATGGGAAATATTGCTTCGAATTTCAGACTTTTCAAATTTAGAACTAGCTCCTGGAACGGATTAAGTTCGATTTTTGAGGTTCCACTGTAAATGTTTAGAGAACCATTTATTTACAGACAAAAACCCACATGTTGATAAATGGTTCAGAGAACCCACAAGTTGATAAATTAGACACACCTGCAACACTTGGGTATCTTTATTGAGGAAATGCTTTACGTCACAGTGGCTTCATCAGTCCTGTACAGAGAAGAATGATGAAGATCAGAAGGATTTGGAGCCTGGTCCATGGCCAGGGTCCAGGATAAACAGACTCTCAAACTCATCAAAGGTATATCAGTTAAGGATCACATGGTACTGTGGCATATATGTCTGTCTGTCAGATATGAGGAAAAGGATGGGAGCAAATAATGTATCTTGTGGAACAGAGCTTTTCACTGTAGCTGTTTACTATTACTCTTTGTGTTCTGTTTGTTAGGAAGTTATAGATCCATCTACCAACTCTTCCTGTTATTCCTTTATCATGTATTTTGTAGGCTATTACACTGTGATCGCACACATCAAAGGCTTTCACAAAATCTGTGTACACTACATCTGCGTTTTGTGTATCTGACAGAGCATTGAAGGCCATGTCATAGTAGTGCAGTAGTTATGAAAGACAGGAATGACCTGCTCTAAGCCCATGTTACCCTGGGTTGTGCAACTGCTGGGTATCTAAGTGATTTTCAGTCTTCCTTCTTGAACCCTTTTAAAAATTTTGATGATGTGGGACAATAGTGCTATCTGTCTGCAATTCTTATCAATTGCTTTACTGCCACCTATGTGGATTTGGGCTGTGTCTGTTGTTTTTAGTGACTGTGGGATGACCTCTTTGTTTGTGCTCCCTCTCCATAGAATATTTAATCCCTTAACTGTCCAAATGTAGGTCTACGCTTTTGCCACTAGCACTCCAAACGTAGATCAATGTTTTATTTTTCCTGCCTCCAAATTTGGCACGACTGGCCCAAGATGCCTGGTCAGTATAGAATAGGTCTTAACACTCGGTGTGCACAGTACTAAAAAAATCTGGGACCACTTAGTACCTTGTGGGAGCACCAGTTCAGTTGAGTGCCAGCTAGAGCAGTGTGGCAAACACCAAGGATTCACTGATGTCATGTCATGTATTAACACTCCCCTTTTAAGGGAAAAGTGATGTTGACCCAGAGTTTAGTGGCTTTGAGATGGATGTGGCCACAAGTGGTCGAGGAAACATCAAAAACCTCAATAATAACCCATGTGCAACATTTGTGAAACATTCTTTCAATTTTGATACCACTGGTGGTGTCATTCTGCCAGAATGTCCTATAATCTATGTCCTAAGTAACTAGAAACAATCCTGGAACGTGTGATACGTATTCGGCTGGCTGGCTTGTTTGTTTGTTTTGGCTGTCTGTTTGTCTGTCTCACAGGTACATGCAAGTACAGTTATCATACATAGTGTAAATTACCTAGGATAACCCAAAAAAAATCCAGACAAAGTGTTATACTCTGCTTGTAGATATAAGGCATAATAACCCTTAAACTGGCCAAATGTAGATCTATGTTCACTTGCATAGCACTCCGAACATAGATCTAGTTTTTTTTTTTCCATAAGAGAGCGTGCAAATTCGAACGTACAGCTACGTTCGGAGTGCTGCGCGAGTGAACATAGATCTGTATTTGGACAGTTAAAGGGATAAGCACGACTGGCAAGTAGTACGCATTTTCACTTGATCAGGAAACAGACATGACGACTCTGCATCGTTTTTAATACCTGTTGGTTTATGAGCCGCTCCCTGAGACAGAGAGACAAGCAGACAGTTTGCAGTGTGTAATTACATTATTGATTTGCTAAGTACAAAAAAAGTCACTATCATGCCGGGGCATTTTAATAAAAGCTAAACACACTTATCATGTCTAGATTTAAGTAGTTGTTACGTACTAGGATTAGTATGCCCGAAATGCCCCGACATCATAGTGACTTTGTACTCAGCAAACCGAAATTGTGATTGTTGTTAAATTAGACACATGTGCAACTCTTGGGTATCTTTATTGACGAAATGTTTCGCCACACAGTGGCTTCATTAGTCCATACACAGGAGAAATTTGAAGAACAGGAGGAGAATCAGGTAATCAGTCCCTCAACTTTGAGTCGATGTGGTCAGTCCATTAATCTTGAATAGGATACGGCATATGAGCGGAGAAGCAGCTTATAAACCGTAGGCAGGAGAGGTGCAGCAGTCATAGGTGGTGTCACATTTGTTCAATGTGGAAGTAGGTCGTGCCCAAGGGTTAGGCAAGTGAAGAATTCCCAAGAAGTTGCAGTGTCTGACACGATTGTAGATGAATGGTTCAAAGAACCGACATGTTGCACATGTGTCTAATTTAACAACATGTCGGTTCTTTGAACCATTCATCTACAACTGAAATTGTGATTACACGTAACCTTTACAAAGAAATAAAACCTTGATGTTTTATCAACAATTGTGGGTAACTTTTATATTTACCAACAATTTGTTTTCTATTGATAAATAATGGTTCATTTTCTTACAGGAAACCTTGAAAAAGATCTTCAGTGAGCACGGGAAGGTCGTGGGTGGGTTCATCCGAAAGCCAAAGAACAATTTTCTCCCTTCTCAAGTCACTTGGGCTATTGTGAATGTGGAGAGCAGGAGGTGGGTGACTTGTTAGTTTTGGAATACAGTTCTCTTGTATAGTTTCAACACTGCCAAGGACCCCCATGGAAATAAGGAAATAGGTAATTTATACACATTACTCTGCAATAAGAATACATTAAACAGGTGATATCACAATATACAAAATAACCACTTGAGAAAATAGTGAATTTTCCAGTACTTTTGGGAAAAATCACAGGAGTCTTTGGAAATTCACGATTTTTCACAGTTGTTATTTTACATAATACATCCTCTCCTCACTTAACGACATACTCATTTACTGACAACTCGAGCTTACGACAGGCTCTCTGACCAGTATGCCTACCTAAATAATGTATATTAGAGCTGATTTCCTCTATTCTATTTACTACAATACACTTTCTTTTTTTCAACACACCAGCTGTATCCCACCGAGGCAGGGTAGCCCAAAAATAACAAAAAAAAGGCACAATACCGTGACTGGAACGATACACAATAACCTGCACATAGAAAAGAGGAGCTTACGACGACGTTTCGGTCCGACTTGGACCATTTACAAAGTCACACTGTGTGACTTTGTAAATGATCCAAGTCGGACCGAAACGTCACCGTAAGCTCCTCTCTTCTATGTGCGGGTTATTTGTGCAGGGTGGCCCAAAAGGAAAGACAAAAGTTTCTCCTTTTACATTTAGTAATATATACAGGAGAAGGGGTTACTAGCCCTTGCTCCCTTATTACAATACACATTATTGTATAAACATTGAAAAATATACCAGAAATGTTATAAATGGTGCAAAGGTGACATTAAAGATGGTTGACACAAACCCACTACCATTGTAGTTGCTCCTCACTTAGCAACGAATTTGTTTACCGACATGGTAAACAAATTTGTTAAGTGAGGAGAGGCCGTAATAATAATAATAATAATAATCTTTATATGAAGGATGAGGTTAATCATAGAATTGATGAGGGAAAAAAGGCGAGTGGTGCGTTGAGGTATATGTGGAGTCAAAAAACGTTATCTATGGAGGCAAAGAAGGGAATGTATGAAAGTATAGTAGTACCAACACTCTTATATGGGTGTGAAGCTTGGGTGGTAAATGCAGCAGCGAGGAGACGGTTGGAGGCAGTGGAGATCTCCTGTTTAAGGGCAATGTGTGGTGTAAATATTATGCAGAAAATTCGGAGTGTGGAAATTAGGAGAAGGTGTGGAGTTAATAAAAGTATTAGTCAGAGGGCAGAAGAGGGGTTGTTGAGGTGGTTTGGTCATTTAGAGAGAATGGATCAAAGTAGAATGACATGGAAAGCATATAAATCTATAGGGGAAGGAAGGCGGGGTAGGGGTCGTCCTCGAAAGGGTTGGAGAGAGGGGGTAAAGGAGGTTTTGTGGGTAAGGGGCTTGGACTTCCAGCAAGCGTGCGTGAGCATGTTAGATAGGAGTGAATGGAGACGAATGGTACTTGGGACCTGACGATCTGTTGGAGTGTGAGCAGGGTAATATTTAGTGAAGGGATTCAGGGAAACCGGTTATTTTCATATAGTCGGACTTGAGTCCTGGAAATGGGAAGTACAATGCCTGCACTTTAAAGGAGGGTTTTGGGATATTGGCAGTTTGGAGGGATATGTTGTGTATCTTTATACGTATATGCTTCTAGACTGTTGTATTCTGAGCACCTCTGCAAAAACAGTGATAATGTGCGAGTGTGGTGAAAGTGTTGAATGATGATGAAAGTATTTTCTTTTTGGGGATTTTCTTTCTTTTTTTGGGTCACCCTGTCTCAGTGGGAGACGGCCGACTTGTTGAAAAAAAAAAAAAAAAAATCTACAAGTGCATGTGCAGTGTATACAGACTTATACATAAATAACCCACACATAGGAGAAGGGAGCTTAGGACAATGTTTCGATCTGACTTGGACCATTTGCAAAATCACACTGTGACTGCAAATGGTCCAAGTCGGATCAAAACATTGTGGTAAGCTCCTCTCTACTATGTGCGGGTTATTTGTGTATTGTTCCAGTCATGGTATGGTACTTCTTTGTTCTTTATACAGACCTAGCTGACATCAGTGACACACTATATAGAAAACCCCTGGTCATATGGAGCATTTTGGGCAGCTTAGGTCAGTTTTGTCCTCAGGATACGACCCACACTAGTTGACTAACACCCGGGTACCTATTTACTGTTAAGTGAACAGGCCTGTACTACAATTATTAAACTGCAACTTATCAACAGCATCAGTGTGTGTGGGTGTGCGTGCTTGTGTGTATGCATATATTTGTACGCTCGTGTGCATATGTCTGTGCGTGCGCCCTCGTGTATGTGCGCGCGCTAGTGTGGGTGTATGACCCACTTAATACTTGTATTTATAACTCATTACAAGTGTGACCAGGTGTGGATGTATCAGTGGTTCATTAGTTTGTAATTTGTTCATGACTGTAACCATGTATAGGAGTGAGGCTGATTCATTACCTTTGTAACTTGACATGATTGTGACCAGATCTACCTGGAGTTCATTACCTTTGTAACTAGTTCAGCTGTCATAACTTTGGGGTCCAGTCCCTGGACCCATTATGTACCTTTGTAATCTTTTGACTACCACCCACAGGATGGGTATGGGGTGCATAATAAACATATTAAACTAACTAACATCCTTGAGAGTGCAGACACTGTACTTCCCACCTCCAGGACTCAAGTCTAGCCTGCCGGTTTCTCTGAATCCCTTCATAAATGTTACCTTTCTCACACTCCAACAGCACATCATCCTGAAAAACTACTTGTCTCCACTCGCTCCTAACACGCTCACACATGCTTGCAGGAAGTCATGATACTTATATTCTTATAATTTTCAAAGCCATGAACTTAAGGCTTCCCCATACATTCTTCTCCTTAAAACTCGTATACATTCAGCTGTTGTATAAAGCTCCTCTATATAGCATAATTTTCATAAATGTGATTGTTAACCCTTAAACTGTCTAAACAGATCTATGTTCACAGGCATAGTGCTCCAAAAGTAGATCTGTTTTTTTTACATTTTCAAATACAGTGCCTCTTCAAGGGGGGCAGACCGAACCTAATTACCCCCCCCCTCCCTATCCAATCCTCCCCTTTTTCCTTTCCTCCTCCCCACCCCTCCCTTTTGCCCTTCCTCTTTTTGGCCTTTGGGATTTCTCCCACAGGCGCGCTAGTTCCTAGGTAGGGGAAAGGATACCGGGGTCCATCCTATTCCGTTGAGGTTCTTGGCGGTGGCATAGTTTGCCGTGGAATCTGGATCGCCTGGGGATGTCCCGATCCCTCTCCGGTATCCCGGAGTAGCTTTGGGTGTCTTTCGGGCGACGGGTGTATCTCTGAAAGCCACCTTTCGGATTCCGGGGGTGGTGGACGAAGGAGGTATGCTTTGTGGCGGATATCCGGCCGCCCTCTCTTTTGTCCACCGAGGTAGCTCGGCAGATGTGAGGTTGCTATCCCGGATTGCTGGTTTACTGGCATGAAGGATAGGGTATGGCATGGGTTCCATGCTGCATCTGCGCTACTAGCGGTGCTGAGGTCCTCTTGGGCGCGGAGGGAGATTTCCGGCCCTTTCATTCCTCCTGGGAACTATCCCTCCCCGGTCCCCCCTTTTTTATTCTTTTTTATTTTTATTTTCTTTTCTTCTTTCTTTTTTTTTTCTTAAAAACAAAAAGAAAGAAGTAACCTAACCATGGAGAACCCAATCCATGAACCTGCTACCCCTGGGCCCCTTCTTGATACCGCACCCTGTTCTGACCTCGCCTCGTCTTTGGACCACTCTTCGGACACTCCTCATGCCTCTGTACCTCTTGCCGGTGCTGTTTCCTCACCCGCTTCAGGTACTGAGGTCTCGACTGACTCCTTCGATTTATCTGACCTTTGCTCTCCTCTGACTATGCTTCCGGCCTCTTCCTCTACGGTGCTGCAATTTTCGAATCGCCGGCCCGTTCCACATCAGACCAACTCTGGTCCCACGCCTAAATGCCAACGACAATTACCTGCTGATGATACTTCTCCACCTTCTCATTCTTCTCAGAAAAGATCGACATGTCCTTCACTACCTTTCCACGGTCAGTTTCAGACTGCACAATGGACTAAATTCTTCACTTTACGACCGACTTCCTCTACTGCCTATCTTTCTGACCACAGTATTGGCAAGGCACTCCTACGCCATGTTGGTAAAGATATTTCTTTTCATGCTCTTAAGAGCAGTATGCGCATCATCACCGTACAGAATGCTACCCAGGCTCATGAGCTTTCTCGTCTTTCCCATATCGATACTGTTCCTGTCACTATTGAAAAACATCATTCCCTCAATTCTTGTAGTGGTACCGTTATTCTGCCCCATACCATAGTTCAACAAAATTTCCAGACATGTGGCACTGACATCCTTGAACAGCTGGAACTCCAAGATCTCCCAATCTTCAAGGTAGACACTTATGTTCTTCCTGCCCGCGGGCGGAGACGATACCCTAGCAATGTGGCTCGTTTAACTTTTGACAGCCGTGAACTCCCATCCTCAGTTTATGTAGCAGGACATCGGTTACAAGTTCGAAAGGTGATCCCTACACTGCAACAGTGTAGAAATTGCTGGCGATTTGGACATCCAGCGAAATATTGCAAATCTATCGCCGAATGCCAGGTCTGTGGTGCCGATGACCATTCTAATATGTCTTGTAATCGACCTCCCTCTTGCCTTAATTGTCATGAGGCTCGCCCTTCGTACTCTCGCCGTTGCCAAGTCTACTTAAACGAGCAGGAAATCTGTTACCTCAAAGAGGCAGGAGGTCTCCCTTATGCCATGGCAGTTTCTCATCTCCGCCTCCAAGGGACACTACCTCGTGTTTCTTATTCCCATGTTTCAAAACGTCCCCCCACTTCTGGGATCCCATCTTCTGCAACCACCTCTGTGGTTACCTCTCCCATAGTCACTCCTGTATCTAATTCTTTTGCTGTCCTAGGCTCAGACGTCCCTACTTCAATGCCTCAGTCTGATCTCGCTTCTTCATGTCCT